CAATGTCAAGGATCACTTTATTGTCGGCTAGCACGAGTATTTAGGTGAAGACGGCTAACGGAATGATGGTGTTAGCGGAGTGGCCGACTACCACCTTACCCTGTTACCATTAACAGATAACCCAGCTCGTCGCACCGCATCCTAAGTGTCAAAGTTTAAGAAAAAGATCTTCCGCTAGAGAGCGGTCAGATTCGTGTCGGCCATTTAGGCGCATAGATTGCTAAGGACTGGCTCTTCCCATCGATTAGGATGGGCACTGCACCCGAGAATGGGTACGTTCCCCGCCCCGCGGCTGAATTCGCTCCTCTTTTCCTCGTTCAGTTGGGTATGCCCCAAGTGAACTTATCACCGTAATGCAGGTAGGCTCATCCCTTTTTCAAAACACTCCTTTTGTACCTTAGCGCATGCCGTTTCTACCATACCTCCTATCTTACTAATCCTCCTCCAAATCTAACTCTCCCATTCAACTCACCTTCTCCTCAAACACCAACTTTGATTCTCAGTTCGTTCGATCCTAYTAAGGATCGAACGAACTACGTACTCTCCCGCCTACCATACCTCTTATCTAGACGCGGTTGCGCACCTCCTTCTCTACTAACCTCCCACTCTACTGACTCCCGACCAAAACTGACACAGCGACCGTGCTCGCCCGTGGCTAAAGCTCCTAGTCACTACCCCCCGCTACCTTCGTCAACAGGGTGAGCAAGAACGAATGAATCTACACTCGACGGGCGGCCAGGTACGCACCCATTTCCCTCCTTTGTCTTCTCATGCAGCCCATGAGTCCCGTAACGCCCTATCCTCCACTCTACTGCCTAAGCGAGGGCCGCCATCAGATTCGCCATCGGCCAGAATACTGGAAACGAGCCTTTATTTGTCCGGTTTCGTCAACAGGCGGGCGCGAAATAGTCTTTTTCCCTCCTCTCTTTTYTCGCTTCCCGATATATCTTGGCGCACTACTCCTCTCATTTACTCCCCGTTCTACTAACTTTCTCTGAAAGCTGACTTCATTTTCGAGTTCGCAGTCCCAAAGAACCCCCATCACCACCCTTCACTCGTCTGATCCCGCGAAGGATGGAGCGAATCACCTATCTGGGATTGCGTCCGACTTGTTTCTCCATAGTCTTTCTCCAACTGAATCCAGCGCAGAAACGCGCCCGGATTCATTCCCTTCCTTACCTCTTCCCTTCTGCCGATCTTATGCCTCCCTCACAGCTTCGCGCTCGCTGCCTTAGTGCCTATCTTCCTTCCTGCTCCTCCTCCTCATACCTTCACGTTCACCATCTTCATCTTCTTTTTTCTTCTCTCGTTCTTCCGTGTCGTCCCCCTCTCCTCTCGTTTCCCCTGGTACTGCCGAAGTAGTTCTGATACCGCGCGATCTCACAAACGTGTAATAGCTCCGGCCGACGACCCGAGATGTGCTGCACAGGGCTTCGGAGAGCGCCTTCGACTAGGTAAGTCGGTCGTCGGTTGGTCCCCCACCCGTATACCTGCTCCGACAAGCACTCCCGCCCAACAGCTGCCACCCCCGTCTGCACCCGGTATATGCCACCGTCCAGATTCATGTCAACTCTTTCCTGCTTCCCTCGGGTACCGGTGAAGGGAGGGGGGGGGTAACGCAAACACCCAAGAATAATAGGCCGGGTAGCGACCAGCCACCTAGTCGACAACTCCAGCGACCGCGAGGKAAAACTCGGAGGGGACCAACTACTTAAGATGGCTCGAATAGTCTTCCGCCCCTACTCCCACCGGTATCTGGCACAGATCAGTGCCAGGTCCACTCCCCAATTTATGCGCGTCACCCTTGAGCAGGGGCCATGCTAACCTTCTCTATATCGTTCCAAATTTTTACAGATGTCCCGAAGGACTACCGCTCACAGCGCCCTGCGTCCCTACACATCAGCCCAGTGGCCCTACACAGTAGCCCTGCGGCCCTACATAGTAGCCCCGGGGTAATTCAGAAATATCGGCTTCCCTTCCCGGGCTCCATCAACTGAATTCAAGTTAGGACACAAGCCTGTATTTCAACAGTCCGCGAGCGTACCCTCCGAGCTAGGCCCCTGGGTCCTGCGCCACCCGCTGTGTCGCGCCCCAGGCCAAGCAGGGCGCGGTTAAGGTAGCTCCTGCCCCGCCACAAACACGGTCTGCAGTTGCACTTCAAGCCGCCCTGCGAATACAACACACTTCTCGCAACCCCATACCCACTCTGGTGTCGCGTCCCGAAGCGGGACGCGAGTGAAGGGATAAACCAAAACAAAAAATAACAAGAGATATATATAAAAAAAAGGTACTAAAGAAGCAGAACGAGAAAAGGGAGAACCCCGTGGATTGGGGCTGCCGCTGAGCGTGCCAACAAAACCGAGGGGGATAGCCCTTTCGGGCCCTCAACCCGTCAGGTTTTGCTCCATGCTGCTCCGCTGCTGTTGCGCCGACGTCCGCTGGCCTCGATCCCCGAACCTTCGTAATACCAGCCCAGTGTCGTAACCTATAGGGCTAAGCCCAACCTGGTACCAGTGGGCTCGAATCTCTTGATAAAAGGGTAGCGCACGACTTTTGGGCAAAAGGAGACACCTTATGCCACTTTCTCGGCCCACACTCGCACACAAGACCACCAAAAAAAAAAAAACTCGTGTCGGCCTACCGGCCTTGCTGCGGCTTCCCGTCCTTCGCCAAATCCATCAGATCCCATCATCTGGATTCCGCATAAGTCCACACCGGCTCACTAAACCATCCAGCATACTATGCGGAACCTAGAGAAAAAAACGCCCATAGGTTAGTCAATTTAATCGAAACAAACGACTGTTGTAATGAAGCATGTCGACCGGAATCCACGCCACGTTTGCCATTGCGATCAAAAGAGGGGTAAAAAAAATCACGCGCGCCTCAAGCCTGCGCGCCCACACTCTCTAACTGGGCCACCTGTTTCATCGACATAGTCCTCAGACACTGCCACGTTTTGCGCAGCATACTCGAACTTTCGAACTTAGCTTAGTCTCTGTCGTTTGCAAAAGCCAGGGCGGATACCCTTGTAAGGGTATTCACGCCGACAACTTACCGGACCATATTAAGTGACGTCCCCATCGCTTCGCAGGATCAAAAGCTATCAGTTCAGCCACAATCCCAAAAGTGCTGACGAGCAGGGTACCAATCCGATTAACTGACAGACCCAGGGTTGAGGCCTCTAATAATCCATGCCAAACATAACCTTATGCTGCCAGGATTCCAACCTGGGTCTCCGCCATCCTGACGCTCGGACGTCGGGGTACTCCTCACTGTACTACAGCATAAGTTTCATTGGATCTCTCACTGTCCTCTTCCCTGTGCCCTGTACATCCGCCGGCTCCTCGTTGTGTGCCCCTAGCCCTTCCCTTGAAACCAAGGTCGTGACTAGGGGCGCGGGCCCTAACCGAGACCTTTGAAGGCATTCTCTCGCCTCCCTAAAAAAAAACTTTACATTAAGCACATATAAATATATCATATAAATCTCCACATAAACCTCCCTGTAGTCTAGTACAGGAAGACTAGGTCTCTATCTTGGCCCACCATAGTCTGGGTGATCATTCCAAATCTACGGCCCACCGTATTGTTATTTCAGCGGTAGTGCCTTCGCGGGTTGCGCCATGATAGGTTGTTCCTGATAAACTTTCAATCGGGACTTCCTCAAAAAGACTCATATGACTCGACTCTTATCCCACACCACTCCGCACCCTCCTAGGCGTTCACGCCCCTTTAAGTCTTTACTCCCTTGGCCAGACGTAGGCCCTCTGCTCAGGTTGTGCCAAACAGCGGTCAACACTAAGCGTTGCGCCTTAGTGATGCTAGTTATACCCCTAGCTGGGTCTCTTATAAATGTCCAAGATTAGCACAAGCGGCCAGACGGTGTGTCGCAACAATACAAGCCTTCTGAGGGACTACGCATAGACCTGTCGCACATAAAGGTATTTACTAGTCCCTCTGTGGGACAACACAGAGGAAGCACGGCAACCTCTCCACAATCACAAAACAAAATCACCGCCTGGTTCACAAGGCCGTGGCCTCCCAGCTTGATCAGAACAAGAAAGTCACACATCTTGATGACATCTCTTAAAATGCACCATTTGCGATATCCAAAAATTCCACCAATAGTCAAACAAAACTTCGTCCCTCTCGTCAGTCTTTTATTACTCAAAACCAATCTTCCAATTATTGATCTTATTAACCACCTCATATATAGAGTAGGTCTCACTTCAATAGGTCTCCCAGCCATCCCTCTCTTTCTAGGATGAACTTTCTCACGACCTTTCCTTCAACACATCTTCCCTTTTTGAAGATGCGTCTTCCAAATAGATAATAGACATCCTTTCCATTTATAGGTGTCTTATTCATCACACAATTCATATAAAGGCCAAGTTATGGGCCTTCTGCACAACTCAACAGTAAGCATTCATCATGACACACATTCAGGATTCTCACACCCTCTCACAAAGCAGACTGCGCTTCCTTGCCTTATACTCGGCCTTCTCATCCGCCCAAGGGCAGATCGCACGAGTATACTGGCTAGAAGACAGTTTACATTCATTCGTATTCACAAGGTACAAGGCACATGGGATATTTCTCGTGCATATTTCACACCAAACCATCATCCATCAAACCAGGACCACATAAGTGAGTGTGAGAGTGATCGTCATACACAACACGTAGTCCCCAAAAACGTCTCGATATACACTCAGGGATAAAATATCACACCCAAATATGTCTCCAACATACACTTAGGGATATGATATCCTGTACAAAAAAGTTTCCACACTGCGACTCACCCAACTCACTCAAATCCACACTCACACGGTATCCTTCTCAAAGTACAGGTTGGCTCTGTCTCTCGAAGATCAGGGTGTAAGCCACCTAAGTATGTACACGCCTCATCTACCATGCCCTGACCCTCAAGATGGCAGACTCAACAAAAACCCAACCCAAACTGCCTAACAAATACAAACAATACCTAAGTCTATAGGATGTCATCCTAACTCTAGCCCTGTACGCAACACGTCAACCATATAGGTAACTTAGTCCTGCTCACTCATCTCCTCCTGGTTTTGCCTATGCAGCTGAGCCCTACCCCCATCTGCCGATCTCTCCACTCTCATGCCCTGTCTATCATACATCCTGCCTCCCTCCTCTGTAACCTTTCCTTCAGCCTTGTCCTTCAGGAACTTAGGACACTGAAAGGCTCGATGCCCCTCTTTTGTACAGAAGAAGCAGGGCGTATCAAACCACTTTCTGAATCTCTTCTTTCCTCTCTGAGATCCTAGCGATGATGGCGCTTCGCTGGCCTCCCTGCTCAGCTCATGGCTCTGAGGCATATCCAAAGGCTCCTCTCCTGTCTCCACCTCCTGGGTACTCGGCCCTGGTTGATCCTCAATCCCCTCTGGCCCATACTCAGGCGTGCCCAACCTCTGGAGCCCGCCCTTGATGACACCCTCCGCCTCAATCCCCATCTCTCTCACAAGAGGTTCCTCTATCCTCTGCTCAAGTGAAAACAAACTCGTCTCCTCCTGCATAGTATGCACCGCCTCAAGGAGCACGCCCATGGATCCCTCTGCTGAGCCCTGAGCTGACTCACTGTTGGATGGTGGTAGCCCCTCCTCAACTGCCAAAGGTATGACTGGGTTCGTCGCTGCTATAGGTAGCGTTGCGAGCTCAGTAGGGGCTCTGAACTCGAAAGCCTCTCTCTCTGCTTCCCTCTGGGCTCTCGCCTCCTCTGGCCCCAGGATAACTCTCCCCATAGGTGGCTCCTGGCGAGGCTCTGCTGCAGATGGTTGTCCTAGCAAACCATGTCCTGGCCGCCTCTGGTCCCGCTGCCGGCTGCTCTCTGGCTTGTCCACCTTCCCTTGAGATTGCTGCCTCAGACTTTCAATGATAGCCGCCTTACTGGCCACCAAAGCCCTAAGTTCCTGGATCTCCACCTCCATAGCCTTCAGGCGTACTCCATGGCCTGCTTCCTTTGTCTTCTTCCCTGCCAGATCGCTCTCCAATAACAAGTGTCGGTCAAAAGTTGTCTTGGCCAGGAACTTGATTTTGCGATCTAACCTTTCTTCCGCCTTCCTGGCTACCCCAAACCCGGCTCTGGTTGGCGAAGGGAGCTCCTCTCCTCTCTGCTCCCAGAAATTCCTCCACATCTTTAGGATCTCCAGGGCCTTAGCTGGCGCGCTGGGTGGCTGACCTGGGAGCGCTCCTGCTGCCTCCGATCTCTGCCTTTCCTACTGTTGCTCCGGAAGTGCCCCCGCCGCCTCCAACATCTGCCTCTCTTGCCATATCTCTTCTATTATCCTGGTTTTTCTTGCCCTCTTTTCTTCAGCTGTTTCTCCAGCTGGCGCCCTTTCCCTCGTGCGGAGGTCGACCCTCTTTGGGATCTCTGCCTCCACCTCCTGCTCGGGTTGACACGGCTCCTGGGGCGGCTCTGCAGGTGCTGGCTCCTCCAGGTCTGGGTGCTCCAGGGCATGAGCTGCTAGGTGCCTGTCAATCAGGGTCAAGGCTTCTCTCCTTACAACTGCCCTCTCTCTCCTTCTTTCTGCCCTCCTCTCTGGCGAAAGAGCCTTTCCTGATGAAGGCAATGGGGCCTCTTCTCTCTGCAACTCCTCTCCTGCCTGGCGCGTGCTCCCTGGTGCATCTCCAAGCCTCAAACCCACCGCTGGCGTCTGAGCGAGCGTGTCCTCTCCAACCTCTATCACTTTCTTTCCTGCACGTCTCCCCTCATCGCTCCGCCCTCTCTCTCGCCGAGTATCCCGGACCTCCTCTCGTGGCATCCCCTCTCGTGCTACCTCTTCATGTGGTACCTCCTCTCGTGGTACCTCCTCGTGTGGCATCTCCTCTCGTGGTACCTCCTCTGCCTATCCTCCACGCTCCTCGCCTCGAGGCGACGCTCCCCATCGAGAGATGTTCAGATGCGCCTCCAACTCCCTCAAAGGCCCCTAAGACGCTGGCAGCTCCTCCTGCGTGCGTGCTGGCGACCTCCTCAATCCACCCTCGGTAAACCGATGGAACTCCACTGGTCCCAACCCACACTGAGGGTATGCCCCTCGCTCCTCAGCCCCTGGCTTCGGCTCTGGTCCCTCCTCTTTCCTAGCTAGGGCCTTCCGTCCTCCTCGAGATGGTCTCGCATCCCCGGGCTCAGGGTCCCTCTGCCTCTGACTCCTGTGACGCCTCTCAACTCTGGGCTGAAGGGGCTCTGGCCGTCGAAAGACCTCTCTCAGATGTGCCTTGCAGCTCTCCCAGTCCCGAGTCATGTCTCTGACCTGCCTAGCCAGTGGTCTCTCCGCCTTCCTGGTCCAGAGTGGTAGAGTCTGCATCCAATCGTCTCTCGATATACCTTGCCCCTGCATGAACCACTCAAAAGCGGGGATGAAGTCTGACGCATTCCCGATCTCCAGGCGGATCGGCCTGCCATCAGGTCCCACAAGCGAGGGTCGTGGCTCCTGCATCCTCAACTCCACCTCTGACCTCGTCGTCGCCTCTCTACGGATCCGCGCGACGGGCCCCTCGAATCTGCCGACTCAACCTCTCAATCCCCTGGGTCACTGTCCAACCCATACGCCGCGCATGCTCCCAGAAGTTGTCCAGGAATAGCTCGATGTCGTCACCATCGTACTCCGGAGTGCTCTCCCGATGGCGAGGTCCGCGCCGCTCGTACCCTCCTGATGCCCCCAACGGCTTTTGTGGCGATCGTGTCCCCTTCCCTCCTCTTGGCATGGCTGTCTTCGTAAAGTCAGACGTGCACAATAGGCGAAGGAGACATCAGACACACATTGGGGTAAGCAAACATGTGATAATCAAAGCAAGCTCAGATCAGATCACACTCATGCAACATGCATCCTATCTGACCTACACAACCTATCGCTTCTATTCTAAAGGCAGTCAGATCACCTCTCTTACCTCTTCTCTCGCCACAAATTTCTTCAATCGCGTTCCAGATACCCAATCCTTCCACTCAGTCCCATTCAGCTCCTCAATCTGGTACGCTCCAAAGTCTCCAACCCGTATGATCCGATAGGGACCTAACCACCTCTTATCGAGCTTCCTGGACCACTGCTTCTCCAACGATGAATCGTAGAGGAGCACGACGTCCCCAACCGTCAAAGGAACTTTCCTCACCCGTGCAGACTGGTCCCAGCGAGCCTTATCATCCATACGGCTTCTCGCCACCTGATCAGACGCCTCCTGGATCCTTTCCTCTATTCCCCCCACCTGCCGTGCGCGAACATCAAGCAATTCTTCAAATGACAGGCTAACTTCCAGATCCTGGCGTCTCCATGTCTTAAGAAAGCTCTCGATAGGAAAGGTAGCGTGCCTTCCATACCACAACGTCGCAGGTGCGTACTTGGTGGATTTTTTCACTATAATGTTATCGACAAAGAATGTTGCCCTTAGGTACCTTGGCCATTGATTAGGCCTACCTTCGGTCCACTTAGCCAGGAGATTCGTAATGGTACTATGCCCTCTCTCCACTGGAGCATTCGCCTGGGGGTGCGCGGCCGTGGTGTAGTAAGCTACTACACCATACCTTGATAGCAGTTCTTGCACCTCCTGGCAGGTAAACTCGGATCCCCTGTCCATTACGAACTCTGACGAAAGGATAACGCAGGTAGTACTCCTCGATGCAGCTAACCAAGACTGAACCGAGCTTGGTACGAATGGCACGCCCATCTACGAAGCCAGACAGGTTATCGCGCGCATCGAAGATGTAGTTATAGCCCTGATCCCCAAGCGGCATGAAAAGTAGCTCGAGATGCACTACAACCCCCACCTCTCGCTCTAGCCTTGGATGCAGCGACTCTCCTTGCCTTAAACGGGATCTCTCCTGGCAGGGTACGCAAGATCGGCAGAACTTCCCGACCATGTCCATCATCTCATCCCAGTAGTACAACTCACTTATTTTGGCATACGTGGCTTGTACCCCGCGATGCCCTCCTGCAATGCCGTCATGAAGCGCTGCTATGACGTCAATCTGACGGTTCCTACCGCAGACGACTCTCCTGGGATTCCCCACTTCTCTCCTTACGAAAAGGTGGTCGTCTCGTACTAAGTAGCGCTGCAGCATCCTCTGAGCCCTATCGCTCGCATCCCTTAGCCGCATTTCGCAAGACAAAAGAAGCCCCAGCTCTAAGTAGATCCCATCATACTCCTCTGCACGAAAAGCCTCCTTAATCTCCCCCTCCTCGAACTCGTCGTCCTGGCTTTCGGGCACTTCGTCCACATTCCCTGCCGCGTTCAACGAGCCTGACTGGTCGAGGCTTTCCTGCAATAACGTGTTGACGAGGAGATACATTCCTCCCACCAGGTCCTCATGCCGTTCTACCTGGCCTGGTCCTTCCTCGATCGTCCTCATGTCCTCCACCAGACTATGCGAACTAGCCAGCGTTAACTCCATCATCCACTGAACATCCTTACCACCCTAGGGATCTTCTTCTTCAAAGGGTTTAAGGACTAGTTCGGCCCTCCTTTCATACTCATTCGGCGCTTGCCAGATAGGATAGCCTACACAACTGAGCACTCGCGGCGACCACTTGTTGATATGGAGACGAACATCTTCTTCCTGATCCAGAAATCCATCAACTGGGGGCGTATTCTCCACTGCCTCCCCTTCCTGTTTATCCCAGTTGATCCGACTCAGCCCGTCTGCCCGGTTCTTACTGCCAGGAATCCGCTCCAACTCGAAGTTAAACATGGCAACCGTCGGATTCGATGGAACGTAATTCCTTAGAGACCAGGCCAGGGCGGCCGGGTCCACTCTTAAAATAAAACTTCTGCCAAAGATGTAGTTCCGGGAGATCCGCAGACAGTGGAGGACAACAAGGGTCTCTCTTTTGAACTGAGAGTAGTGCCTCTCAGTCGTACAGAGAGTCCGGCTCTCAAACCTCAGGGGTCTTTCCTTTCCTTCCATGTCTGCCTGAATTAGAACTCCCCCTAAGGCAGTCGGCCCCGCATCCGTTTGGACGATGAAGGGTCGCGTCTCCGTGGCATCATAATCTGACGCTCCTAACACCAACCCTCCTTCTCGAAATTCCTCCTTCATTCTGGCCACCACCTCTTCTTGCTCTTCACCCCAAACCCATTCCTGATCCTGACGGACTAAATTCCTCAGGTGTTCAGTCTTAGCGGCGAAGTTCTTGACGAAGACCCTCCAAAACCCATACGTACCAAGGAAGCTCCAGACATCAGTTATTGAGTGGAACGGAACTGGCCACTCAGTAATTTTGTCCGTCTTCTTCACATCCGGCCTTTGACCCTTCTCACTGCAGACGAACCCCAAAATGGTAGCTTCCCTCATGCAATGTCTGAACTTGGGTTTGCTTGTCGTGAGGTTATGCTCCTCGAGCAGGCTCAGGACTTTTTCTAAGTCCTGGATGTGCTCCCAAACAAAGCGTCTTACCCCTGGCAAGACTTCGTCATTCTCCTTCACTGTCGACCCCTTTACTGCCAAGTCGTCGATGTATGGCTGTGTGATATGAGGGCGGACTGACTGCATAGCCCGAATCATGGCCCGTTGGACCATTGCTACCACGTTGGTCTACCCTTGCGGGGCCACGTTCATGTGGATTAGTCCTCGCGGCGTGTGCATAACCGTCACCGTCCTGTCCGACGGATAGACCGGAAATTGATCATATCCTGAGTAAAGGTCTATAAGTGAGATTATAGGCCTTCCAACACAGGATTCTGACAAAGCGTCCGCATTTGGCAGTCCTCCAGCATCCCGCACGATCACCGCATTTGGTCTCTGCAAATCTTGCACCCACCGCAGCGTCCCGTTAGGCTTGATGAAGCAGAACCACGGGGACGCATACAGTCTACTTAAATAGTCAGCGACGTGTGTACGTATCTTGCCGTCGAGGTAATCTACAACTTCTTTTCCTCGTCAGGATTAGGATATCGCGCCCCTCTCATATTCCAAGGTTCGTGTCGCACGGTATGAATGCGGATCATAAGTATCTCGTCTACATCCAGCCTGCCACGCTCCTCGTCACTAAATGCATAGGCGCGATGCTTCCTCTTCGTCATCTCCACCATCAATGTTCATTTTTGAGGCAGCAGGAAGTCGGGTTCCCCTATAATCAACTTCCCCTCATTCTCTTCGTTGATACGACATGGCCCTGCTAGAGCACTCTCCCTCATTCGCCGTATCAACCCTCGTTCTCTTCAGTAGTATGCTTCCTCGTCTTCTGTAACGAGGATGGGAACCGGGCAACACTTCTTGTCTACCGTCTTATACTGCCTTTGGGAACCCTGTTTGAGCTGTCCCCTAAAAAAGGCCGACTCACAGATTGCGCCTGCGCTATTGCAGGGTTCCTCCCACCGTCCGGAAGCCGATATACTAGCTCCAGCCTTCCTGCCTCGGGGCATTCCAGAACTTGCTCCCTCAAGGCCTGGATGGCATCCGGATCTGCCATTTCATGCCTGGCCACCAAGTCCATGGCCTTCCGACGTCCGACAGGATGAGGGAAAATGCTTTCACCCTCTCTCCTGCTTCTGGCTCTGCCCGGAGCCTCCGGCGCTCACCTTCCGATTCTTCGATTGTGAACGATCCTGGATTGGGCCGGTTCCTTATACTCCTCGGCCCTGTGTTTCTGCAGGTAATTATTTCGTAATTCCCGCAGGCAGGGTCACATAGGAGGAGAATTAGCGTCCCATCATGCTTATTGAACATCACGGTCTCCGTCCTGCTCAGGAATGACCTCCCCAGGAGGATTCCGTGATCCACGTCCGGCATGATGAAGAAACAGGCCCGGGCCTTTACCTTTCCAACCTCGATGAGTACATTCGAGGCCGTCCCACAAAATACGGCCTTGCAGCTGGCCCCGCGAAAAATTCCGCAATCAGATCGGTCTATGTCCAGCCCGAACCTGATAGCATCTGCTTCTCGAATAATGTTCATCTCCGCCCCGATATCCACCATTGCTGCGCACTTGGAACCCTTCACCACCAAATCCACCGTGCCGCAGGCCACGCACTTCCAATCCATCTTCGTGCCCGACTCCGCCCATTCTGCCTCTTTGGGCAGGATCGTATCCAGATGGACGTTGGGCACCAAGCGCCGTGACAACCTCCCTTTTAATTCATCGCGGAGCCGCGGGGCTGACGCCAGGATTTCCTTCAGGGTCATAAGATCGTTATGCCCTTCTAGCAGTCTGTCGATCACCCGCTCTACATCAAACCCCTCTTCCAACCGAACCGCGTACTTTTTCTTCTTAGGCGGTCCGTCACGTATGACCGGTTCGGCCTCTTCCCTGGTTCCCTTTTTCCTTGCTCGCTGCTCCGCTCTCTAATCCTCTTCCCGGCGCAGCCTCTCGTCTTCTTCCTCTTCATCATCGTTATCCTCCACTTCCACGGCCTCTTTCCTTTTTCCCGGTTCAGGCTCCCTCCTGGGAGGCTCTTGGCTGGCATTGGCCTTGGCCTGACTTCTCGTTCGCGCTGCCTGTGCCAGCCGGGCCTGCGGGGTGAGGGGTCTCCCCATCACCCCTGACTGTGGGCTTGACCCCACCACATTTACTCCGGATCGCCCAGGCGCTGACTCCGGGCCGGAGTCGTACAGGAACACCTTGGGGATGCTATTCTTCCATTCCCTCACTTTCTCACAGAGGTCTACCAACTTCTATTGGTACCTTCCCACCTTGTCCAACAACTCCTTCATCTTCCCCAATAGGACGGACGAAGGTTCCATCCCTCTTTCCTCGTCCTCGTCGTCCGATTCAATGATTATGGGCTCTTCCCTCTTGCTTGCTCCTTGTGGCCCTTGAGTTGCTTCCTCGTCGCTCCCCACTTCCTCTATTGCAACCGGTGGTTCTTCATTTTCCTGCCATAGCCTGGATCCCTCTATCCCCACCAACGGTCCTTTTATCTCCTTCCACAGCCTGAATGTGGCAGGGGGTAGCGGTCCGGCTGCCGCCTTTCGTTGGGCTTCCGCCCTCACTCCCCCGAGCCTTCTGTCGATGAACTACCCAAACTGATCATAAATATTCCCGTCCATAGTGGAGGAAATCAACCCGCTTTTCTCGTTTTCCCGCCTTATGTTACACGAACGTACTGGCACAGCTGGGATATGCGACAGAGCCAGTGGTGCAGAGAAGGGTAGTGACGGCTGTCCAAGTGAAAGGAAAGGAGCCGGTGATAGAGGAGGTCGTTCAAGAGGAACTCTAGGAAGAGAAAGAACCCGTGCCGCAGCACCTGACGAAGGCCCAGCGCAAACTGCGTAACTTGGCGCAGGGTGGGCAGGGGTCAGGGAAAGGGCAGACGCCCCAGGCCCTGGCGGCGGCTCCTCCAAGTGTGGTGGCGCCATCATCTAGTGCGGGCCCCTCGCAAGGAGGGGCACCCTCCTACGGACAGTGGCCCTGGCCGGTGATCAATGCAATTGTGCCATGGGGTAGCCCGCCGCCAGTAGCCGGACCGCAAACGAGTATGCCGCCACCCATCTACCCCGCAGCCCAGGCCGAGCCTGTGGCCCCGCCGCCGTCGCCCGCTCCCAGTTCACAGGGAAGCGTGGTTGGAGGTGGGAACCAGGGGCAGGGCAATCAAGGCAACGGAGGCAGGGGTGGAGGAAGGGGGCGAGGCAGGAATGGCGGCGGACGAGGAGGGCAATGGAGTGGTCAAGGCCGGGGAAACCAAGGCCAGGGGAATCAAGGTCAGGGATACCAAGGCCAGGGGTACCAAAGCCAGGGGTATCATGGCCAGGGGGATCAGGGAAGTCAGGGGTATGGGAGGCCCCGTTTTGACTGGAGGTCGGCCATCTGCCAGCATTGTGACCAGCAAGGCTACCGGGGTCCCAGAAGCGGTCGCATCTCTTTCCTTTCTCTTCTCCCTTTGCAGGCGTCCCTGACGTTGCTCCACCTGGTCCAAACATCCAACCTCCACCCCTTTGTCAATGGTGGCCCAGGTGAGCTTGGTGCTATTCCCTCCATGCCTTGTCAGCTCGACGGCCTCCGACGTCATAAGTAGCCCCAGGAAGATGGCGCACTACGCCTCCTCCGAAATCCCATGGACCTTCCGCGCCCTCTTCTTGAATTCTTGAACAAATGCCCCTATCATCGTAGAGTCCTCTTTGTTCATTGCCGCAAGGTCCGTAGTGGTCAACAGTCCATCTCTAAGGCGGTACTTCCTCTGCATCCCTTCCTTGAACCTTTCCCAGCTACCTTGGGCCGCGTCTATGACTTTCTTCACTTCTTGGTGGTAGCTGTGGAGGACATACTGAAGAATGCGTTGAAACTTTACAACGTCCGACCGCCCGACCAAAGCTTGTTCCACCCGCTCCAGCCATTCTGAGACTCTCTCCCCACAAAAATGGAAGGTATCGACCTTAGGGATATTGCTCGGGTTCCTTTCATGTCGGTCAATGGCCGCGATGAGGTCATCGAGCGTCAGACCCTTCCTGGGACCACCCGATGTGCCGCCGCCCTGCGACATCTTGACAAACTTTTCTCTTCAAACTCCCTGACAAGAAAAAAAAAAAAACAAGCACATCCCCT